GCTAATTCCAAAATGAAGGTGATTTTTTTGGGGGGTGGGGGGCGACTGGGGGAGCTCGAGTAATTTTTTGGAAGGGATGTACCCCCACCCCCACCCCCCGCCAATAGATATGTCATTGGTTCTACGCAAATCTACCAAGAGTAGAGATATCACAGTCAAAAGCGCTTATACAAACAAGATCACATAGCTGAATCATAAAGACTATGTGCATTACGTACATAAGTTAAATGATTGAAATCATGTGCTCAGACACTGGCACATACAAAATCATCATGTGACAGGGACTTATTACACAGGATATGTGTACCTGTAACAATACAACCTCTCTCCTGCAACACCTAAAGTAAGGGGAAACTTTTTTGGCCGAGAAGCAGGGAAAATATTTCTTTCAAATTTACACTAAGTCTAACTCCTATTCAGGGGACAGTCATTTTAGTCTCAAAGATGACTGTTTAATATGGGTTTTAATGATTTTTTCCACTCTCCTTTATAGCTATAGAGCTAGAATTCAAGCCTATTGGTATTCTAATAAAAACCAGCTGGGAATAGCACCTCTTGTATTTAAGTGTTCATACATTCTTAATAATACTAGAAAAAAATAGCTCCCTTTATCAATGCTTATTGTATTTGTGCATGCTCATTTGCCCCTATCTTTGTGAGGCGATAGTTAAATTCAGACTCTTTTCAACCCTGCCCTTAGACAGTTGTTAACTGTAGTATTAATTAAAATGAAGAATGAAATTGAGGTAGCATTTGAAAGTGAATGCTTCAAGCGCCTGAGCAATACAACGAAAATGTCAATAGAGGTACTATTACTACCTAGCGAATATGACCATATGAATATGCTGGAATACATACGTTTTATTTACCTTAATAAGAGATTTATGTACACACACACACACACACACCCAAACATACTGAAGATAAATGCATACACACTCACTCTCCCTCCCCTACTCAGAAGCACAGCTACTTTTGAGACCACTGTGCGTTAGTATTTTCCTGAGGGATGTTATGTTATTTTGACAGCAGTATGAATGGAATGTTATGTTTTCCATTAATATTCCAAAATACAGTCCCTAGGCCCATTCAAATAGCCTGGTTCCTTGAATCTGGCAAACAAGCAAAAATGTTGCAAAGACAAACCTATATCTAATGAAGTCAGCTAGCAAAAGGTATCAGTATGTGCAGCAAAATAAACTTAGATGTGTGTTAATTAAGAGACCAGATGTAGGTATATATGTAGGTGTATATGCAAATGTATATGTGTGTGTGTGTATGTAGGTGTATATGTGTATGTATATATATATATATATATATATATATATATATGTATATGTATGTATATGTATGTATGTATATATATGTATATATATGTTACAGTAATTTTGGTAATTAAAATAACCCTGCATAGTCATATAGAATAGGTACAAGCTAACGAAGTTCCTATTTGACAAGTAATCATACGTCATCCACAAACTAACAGTGAATTTACTGCTATGCACAATGACTTTAGTGTACACGAACAAATAATAATTACAATAAGATCGTAGGTTAGCGGAACTACAGTATGTTGTTCTTTATTATTCAGTTCCAAAAGGTTCATAGGACTATTTATTTAAGCAGAGATATCTGAATGTAAGTAAGTATATAAGTATATAAATTAGATATATTGTGTATTAGGCCTATATAAAAGAAGTACAGTTACACAGTAATTAATGTATTGACATTTTTGTTTATTAATAACGATTAAATCTCCTTCAGCATTGCAGGTTACTGTGTGTGTATATATGTACGTAGGATTTATGTAAGTATGTGAGTATTCATGTATTATGTGTATGGCGTTTGCATGTATCACTGTTATTAAAAATACCCATAATGAAAATAGAATTAAAGGATTAAGTGCTTTGAAGTCACAAGGAAGGGTATTTACTACAGAATGTAGAGACTTAAAGTTGTCATCATCCTTTCTTGAAAATTTATCATTGAGAGATAATCTTGTTAGTTTTATATATAAAGCGAGATATCAGTTGCTGGAAGTAGGCACGTTGTTAAATAGATATTATCCAAATACCAATGATAAAAGGTGTGTAGTGTGTAACAACCCAAATGATCACATGTGATGAATGGATGTATGCTTTTCAGAAATATGTATGTTGCTCGACAAAACAGTTGATATAATCCATAAGGAAATTATGAGTAAAGACTAGTTAATCAATTGTAATGTTTCCCATTAATTGGGTAGATTTATAGCATAGTCAACATCGTAGACCAGATTTGCTATTGATCGATAATCGGTTAAAAAAAGCATTTATTGTAAAAATTTCAACCCCATTTCATGCGTTTGTTGATACTTGCTCTGAGATTAAGTTCAGAAAACACGTACAATGCGAATTGACACTACATTTGAATGTAAGGTGGTTGTCATAATTATTGGTTCATTGGGTAGTGTGTATCAAATACTAAATATATTAGTATAAGCTCTTGTATTGGATCACATTTATGTGGAGAAAACGTGCCAAACATTTGTAAAAGGTATCCACGTTCGGACCCATTCTTCTAGTCAGGTGTGAAATGTTTTCACGTTAAACCGCGTTTTAAAATTACTTATTGTATGATATAAGTCGAAAGTCTTTAAAAAATGTTTAAAGCATGTAGGCTTTATATAAGCCTATGTATGTATGTAAGTATTCATGTAGTATGTGCATGCATATAGGCCTATATGCATGTATCTCTGTTAATAATACCTTAATTTTATGTTAAAGGTTATTTCAAACTTGCATCACAGATTAACAGGCATTGTAAAGTGCCAAGGAGGGAAAAATATTGAATAAAGAAAAGAAACACATCCATTTCTATATATGACATTATACCAAACAGTAGGTATACAATATCTACATAATAAATAATACAGGAAACAAACCTATGCCCTTAAGCTTTCACGCTTTTATTAAATAACACACACTTGTTTGTTTTTTTTTTTCAAAACAGAAATTGAACCGCCTACTTAGGACGTTTCTATTGACACAGAGATATACTGACGCATTACATCAGCATTGTCTTTTAAATCATCAGCTATAAGTGACAAAGATATGTGAATTGTTTCACATACTCAAGGGATAGTTGTTATTGGCTCTCCCATCAACTTTCAAAACTTGGAAAGATACACATACATTTAAAATTTTTGGCATTATAAATGAATGTCATGAGACTTGGTATGTTCCTCACATAGGCTATGCGAAGGTATTGTTGGCGCCCACTCAAGGAAGGGGCAAACAGAAGCATATGACATCCTGCATTACAATTCCCAAGTTTCTTATTTGATACATTATTATATAAATTGTAAAGGAGGGGTGATATAACCCCACTCTGACGTACTGTACGCCATTTGATACATCAAACTTAAATGAACAACAACTTCCCCATCTGACGATAAATTTCTGAGATGTATACCAGTTTACAAGTAATCTAATAACATAAAAAGGTTTATCTATCCAGTGATTGACCTTGTCCATAAAATTTATGTCGTCAATTCCTTCTTAAAGAAAGGGTTCGTGATCAATTATATCTTGACACATGTAAAAAGTAGTGTTAAAACTGATAATAAAGTGGTATAAAAGCAGTGCATGAAGGGTTTGGGAAGCACACTGCAGTAAACATCAACGTTTGAGTGCGGCCCTCGGTGTTAAATGAAACATTTTCTTTGGCCCTCCAACAGATTTGTATGCCCACCACTGCTGTAGCATATGCATATATCTATAACCGTTGGTCATAGACAACTAATTTTGGTCTCAAATTGTTTGGGACATACTGCATATACAGGTATGGGCTGTGAAATGGACCAGTACAGAAGGGAAACCACCTACTCGTCTCAAAGAGTGTAGTGTAGGCCTACTCGGTTCTTTATGCGCACATGAGCCAATTGTGTACACACTAGGCCTACGGTTTATTGTCCTTACTATACTGAGAAGACTTGTTCCACCACTAAACCAGACGAGCGTACCGTTCGAACCAGTGCCGATGTTATGGCTGTAGTTGCGGCGCCCCTGCCTTAACTGCTCGGCCATTTGACTTGCCACTCTGTCATACATCATAAACAAAATAGTTTACCTAGTACCTTGGCCCCAGTGGCAAGCAGCATTGCCATGAAGTTAGATGATGCTAGAAAACGAAAATTCCAACTTCCTAAATTACAAACACAAGATATTTTGGCCTTGTTGTGAGATCGGCAAGTAGGTCGCAATCTTCACACTATGTGTTCTTCATTGTTCACTCGAAAATGAAAGAGTTAAACCATAATGTAAATAAAAACACTCAAACAAATACAACACAATATAGGCCTAGATTTAGAGGAAATAAATCACACATACTAATAACAGTCTGTGCGATACCTTAGCGATAATGTCAATAAGGAAATTTAACTTAAAAACAGAATACATTCTAATACCAACAGTCTTGTAGATAGGAACTAGAGTGGAGCGGTAGGCCGGAAAGTTTTTGCAATTTTCTATATTCGACTTTCAGATAATAGCGACAATTATTTAACCGTATTTTCTCCCAATTCATAACATAAAATACTGGGTAATTCACTAGTATTAATATGTTAAATAGGTCTATAAATAGACCGAGACCTGAATGTTCAGAAAAAAATATAAAATTGAACTTAAATGCATCGTCCTGGCTTCATTCGTTTGGAAGATAGTTTGACCAAGGGCTTTTAACCGTTGATTTGCCATGGCGTTTTCAGGTTCCGAAGCTCGTGGTCATCTGGAGTTCGGACCAAACGCTGACCGTTCTCAGCCGGACATATTAGATACCTTACACTGTTGACGGACTGGAAGCGGTCTGTGCTATGTTTCAGCCCTAGGCAGTATTACGTACGTACTTACTCACCCACCCACTCACTCACTCACTCACTCACTCACTCAATCGCTCACTCACTCACTTACTTATTTTACTTACTTACTTTATATTATTCCTTTAGAAACATGGTCAAGGATTACCAATAGCAACTTATCACTGTCCTATTAGATAGGTTACAATCCTGTTTCCGTGACAGGAATTGAACACAGGACCCTGGAGGTTTGGAAGACAAGCATCTTAACCACCAAGTTATTCAAATCCAATACCATGGCTTATAAACATACATAAAATTCACTAAAAAGTAAACGTATGTATATTATATTGTTGTCGCTTTTCACAAGTCACAATAAGAGCATATTGTGTTCAGTTATATCATTACTAGGTAGACAACGTGCTTGAAAGAAATGTAATGTAGCGTTTTAATTTCAAACACCAAAAAAAAAAAAAAAAAACAATTTTCATTAACAGCTACATCAATTGTATACTAGGGCACGCTATAGGTGCTATTTGATTTAAGCAGATCTTTAATTTTTTTGTTTATAATGGTATTAAATCAATGAAAAAAAGTATATTTTAATGAATAAATATCTATGCTTTTTTTAAACGTTAATTTTGTTGTATTTCTTTTCACTTGTGAATAGCTTCATCAAATAAATGTTACTGATACATATTTTAAAATTGCAAATGACACATTCACCTCTCTTATCAGATGCCGATGTGTTCCTTTGACTGCGAAATGCTCTTCATCATCATAGGACTACAACTTATGATTTTCAACAGACTAAGCTTTGGTAGGTTTATGTACCGTACATTTGAAGATGAGATGGTTTTATTTTTTGGTTTTTTTAAAAAAAAACATCTCCAATGTCAGATAACTAAACTTGGTTCGTAAATAATCTCATTATTTAGTATCTCTAAGGGTGACTCTAAATATCCGCTGATCATAGGTTTGAGTTCGCCATTTATTAAAACATATAAATGTTGCATCTTACTTTCTATTTTAAACCAAATTGCACAAAAACTGCCAATGTAGGCCTAAATTACAGTTTATTGAATTAAATGTTTGAGAAAGCATTAAAATTGTATTATTACCTACGGAACTATAGTAGGTCTACATCATAAACAGTGATCTAAAGTCCTAATTGTATTTGGTAATGAATTAAAACAATTGTTATAATCTATATCTTCTAAGGAAGCCAAAGCTATGTAACACTTTTGAATCATCAGCCTAGCAACGCAGAGGATGGCAAGGGGTTCCAGTGCTACACACCTCCAATTGTTTCAGGTGACATGTTAAGTTACGGTAGATCATACCAAATAGACAGCACTGACAGCCTTACAGATATACCTTGGAATGTTCTTGTTGGTCAAACTAGATATCCTACACCAGATCCAGCTGTAGCAGGTGGGAACGTCGGAGTTTACTACTGCAAGTTTGTGAATGGTCTCATCACTACGATCGTTCAAACTACAAAAAGAGATAGTGATGGTAAGAATCATATGATCGCGCATTTTTACTGTATTTTAACATTAATAACTAAAAATTTAAAGAGGTATTGTCCATTTCAAACAAAAAAAAGGCAAGCCAATAAAATTAAACTTTGAATTGGCCATTTTTTTTTTTGTTGTTTGAGAAAGTTATTCGCTTTAGATCCAAAAATCGAACAAAAATGTATTATTTCGTTAAAATAACTAACATATTACCATTACTCTAACTCATTCTAAATCATTCTAATATTTTATATACCGTAGTATCTACGTTTTAGGAAATTCTTATTGGTATTATAATATTACAGATAATAAATTTTATTTTTAATAGTACATTTTATTAACTAATTGTAAAAGGAATATAACCGGTTTTTGTTTTTATGTATTTTATTGAGACAAAATAAATGAAATGAAATACACATGACCACATGTAAAAAATGTATATGCTGTAATAATTTACATATGGTCATACATTCCAATCTTTATACTAATATATTCGAATGGGTAGCATAATACAACAGTTATAATGACATATAATGCAATAAAGTAAGTATATAAATAAGCTTAATCTGCCTTTAGATTAAGAATATAATTACGTTTCATTCACTGCCGGCGCCCAAGGGCGCAGATTTGTTTGAAAAGGCTGGGGTGGGGGACACTTCTTGAGTCAAATATGAAGCGCCAAAGAATTTCTCATGATCTTTTATCAGCGAGTTACGACAATTATCTAATAATTAGGTTATGTACCATAGAAAATAAAAGTTAACAACATCGTCTTTGATGTACTTTACCTACTTCAAAGCCGTGAGTACACAACCACCTCAGCCCCATCACTTAGATGGAGAAGAAATTATTTTGATATGATCGACCATAACATTCTTTTATACAAAATTATCCCATTATGGAATACGCTGACCTGCCCTCATTCTCTTCCAGAGTTACCTTTTAAATCGTAGTCAATGTACTAAATATTATTTTAACTCCATTTCTAATGCTCTTCCCATTACTTATGCTGTTCCTCAGGGGTCTTTGTTAGGCCCGCTCTTTTTTATTTTATATATTAATGGCATTCATTTGTCTTTAAACCTCTTTTCCTTTCCTTTTTTTTTCTATACGCTTATCGACCATAAAATTCTTTTATACAAATTATCCTATTATGAAATTCGCGGCCCTGCCCGCGATCTATTTTAGAGTCTTTCAAATCGGGTCAATGTAATAAATAGGTCTATTTTAAATCCATTTGCAATTCCCTTCCCATTACTTGTGTTCTTCAACGGTGGTATTTGTTAGGTTCACTCCTTTTAATTTTATACATTAATTACATTTATTTGTCTACCCCAAAAAATGTGGAAAAACGTGACCCCTGTTTCGCGCCACTCCTCACCCCCACCCCCATGACATACACCCATGACGGCGCCCACTCGGAGTCATATTCCCCAACAAGAGATTCAAAATTTAAACCAGCTGGGCCACACCCACCTCAATTCCACAATGGTAGGGGTAAATACTAAAATTAGGCAACTCAAGACTCACTGAACTGGCACTTTCAGAATGTGAAAATGGTTTTTCAAAGCTGTTTCCCAAACAAAATGATTAGCTTCTTCCTCGACGGCGGTACATGTTCCTTGAACCTCACTGTAATCCCCACTGACCACTGAATGAAATAACATTATCGAAAATGAATATCATTCGTATCAAACTCAAGCTTCCTTTTATCACAATTAGAATTGTTATGTATGATTTCGTGCTTTTTAGCCATCATTATACCATCGAATGATAAGGCAAGCGTATCTGCCAATGTGGGTGACAACGTCAAGATCAGCTTTCAGGTCATAGGAGACGTAAATAGACCGCTTGTCTGGAGAAAAGACAATGTAGAGATAGTCACAGAAGATACGGAAAGTTTGACGTTTAATCCAGTAAATGTCAATGACGCTGGGGTGTACGAAATGCATGGAACTGGGCAACGAAATTACCGAACTCATTCATTTATTATGCTGACTGTACGAGGTAGCAATTTTTTTTTTTTTTTTGCTAATGATAATAACATTATTTTATGTATAAACTGCCTAGAGGCCCACAAATCAGTGATCAGTCAATCTGCCTGAAAAAGAAAAATAATGGTCATTATTTTCCAATCGATGCCTTATAACTTTGCAATAATTTCTTTTTAAGTCACGTCAAGGCTAAAGTTTAACTGAACAACTTTCAGTCGTGAATCTTAACTGCTTTGTTGTTATTTTTCACAAATCCATCCATCTCAGTATTTGAAGCAGTAGCAGTATTTGCAGCAGCAAAAATACCAGACTGTTTTTATGTTCATTTTCGCTGAACAACAACCAATCATCATTTACTATCTCTTTTGTTTTATAAATTATTTTAGCGTGTCCACGTCACAAATGGGGTCCTCCTGATTGTACAGGTGACTGTGAATACTGCTATAATGGTGGCGTGTGTGATGATAAAACAGGACTTTGTATTTGTGCACCTGGCTTTAAGGGAAGATTATGTGAAATTGGTAGAGAAATATGTTTACTTTTTAGCATGACACATAATTTCACATCATAATCTTATATTTCCACTATTTTAAATTTACAAATAGGATCATAAAAAATATAAACATACAAAACGATTCAGTAATACCTAGTAGGATTGCTCAACTGAGTAGTAGTAGTAGTGGTAGTAGTAGTAGCAGCAGCAGTGAGAGTAGCAGTAGCAGTTGTAGGTGGTAGTAGGTGGTAGGTAGCAGGTAGTATGTACAGTGCACCCTCCAATTCGAGACCCCTCTAATTCCGAGACCCCTCTAATTTGAGACCACCTTTAATACCCAAATAACAATCTTCAACCCTTCAACCCTAGCCCTTCAACAAAGCTATCTCTCTAATAGGAGACCCACCCCGAGACCACCCCAAATTTTCAGGTCCAAGGGTGGTCTCGACTTGGAGGGTGAATTGTAATTGTTGTTGCAGCAGCAGTGCAGTAGCTTAGTAGTAATAGTAGTAGTATCTTTTACTTATAATTATTAAATTTTCAGAGTGTGGTCAAAATAAGTTTGGATGGAACTGTGAACAAATCTGTACAAAACACAATAGAGCAGATGCTTGTAAAAGCTACCAATTCTGCTTACCAGATCCATACGGATGTAGCTGTGTTACAGGATTCACGGGCATTAACTGCCTTACAGGTAAAGCAATTGTAAAGGCGATGATGAAAATTAAAAAAAAAAAACTATAAAAAAAAAAACACGGAAATCAGGTTGACGTTTTTTTTGGAACACTGATGAAGTCCACATGCGTGGACGAAATATTAGTGTTCTATTAATATTCCAACATTTTTTTTTATATTTTCATCGCCTTTGCCACTAAGATATTTGATGGCAGTGTTCAAATTACGGAACAATGATGTAAAGGTATATATATATATATA